TGGGAGCCTGCTTCTCCCTCTGTTTCTCTCTGTCTCTCATGAATAAATAAATAAAATCTTTAAAAAAAAAAAAAAAAGAAAGTGAGGTCAAAGCGAAGACCTTCCCCGCCTTTGGTGTTTACTCGCTTACTCTCCCAGGGAAGGGACTGATGCAGAGGGAAGGTAAAGGGAGTGGTGGACAAGATAAGACCAAGACTTCTGGGCTAGGATGCCTGGGTTTTAACTCCATCACCGTGTAACCTTGGGACTCAGTTTTCTCACCTGTAACATGGGGATGATAATAACAGTTCTCACCTCATGGGATTATTATGAGGATATTGTGAGTGACAGAATATGCGTATAGTGCCCACTACATCATAAGCTCTAAATAAATGTAGATTACTGATAATATTTCTAGAGGGCCGAACTGGAAGAGGCCTTGGAGGTCACCTAGGCCTGGCCCGGAGAGGAACAGGGTTTTCCCCTCTGTCACATGACAAGTCGGAAGATGTGATAATAATCCTGAGGCTGGGGACAGGTGGGTGGGAGCTCAGAGTTCTAGTGAGTGGCAGGAGTAGCACCAGCCAGTGGGGAGCGGAGTGGCCGAGGGCATTGACTGTGGAGTCAGACTGGGTCCCAACATCTGCCCTGCTTTGACCAGCTGTGTGCCCTTGGGCAAGTCCCTTCACCTCCCTGAATCTTGTTTTCTTTAACTCTTACCTTAAATAGTGTTACTCATATCTACTTCACAAAGCCGTTTATGCATTTACTAAAATTTACTTGTTGATCATTTCCTGTGAGCCAGGTATGGGCTAGGCACCAGAAATCACAGTGGTGTATAAGACAGGTAAGGTCTGCTGTAGTGGAGCTTACCTTCCGGTGGAGAGAGACAGATAATTAAAAAAAAGATAGCAACTAAGACCATCTGGAGAAGAGCTCCAAGGAAAATGGAGCAGGGGTGGGTAGAGCTGGACTGGGGAGGGCGGTAAGACATTGGATGGTGTAGCCAGGAAAGGCCTCTCTGAGGAGTTGACATTTGAGTAGCAACCTAAGAGAAGAGAAGCCTCTATGGGAAGCTCTAGGCAAGGCAGCCTCCAGGTAGAGGGAATAGCAAGTGCAAAGGCCCTGAGGCAGGAGTGTGCGTGGTGTGTCAGAGAGGAACAGCAAAGGGGCTTGTTGGCTGGAGGGCTGTGAGTGAGGGTGGGATGTAGGAAGGATCAGTAGGGGCCGGAGCATGTGTACCATCTGGGTCCCCATGAAGAGGCTAGATTTTAAGTGGGTTGGAGATCCCTAGGAGGCTTTTAGCAGGAAAGAGATAAAATTAATTTTATATTTTTAAAGGATCTCTCTGGCAGAGAGAGGAGGCTGCTGAGTTGTGCAGTCTGGAGGGGATGCCTAGAGAGGAGGTCTGATGAGGAGTGGAGCCAGATAACGTCCCAGACTCCTCCTGCCTGGCCTGGTACAGGCCTTGAGAATGGAACTGAGCCCAGTTGAGGTTTCTGAGCTCCTGAGAGTTGCATGTTGGGGGCTTGGGTCATGAGCAGGGGGGCCGTGATGCTGTGGACGAAGTAGTCTGTGGAGCAAACCTGGCCTGGGTGGGTGGGTCTCTCTCTCCATCTCTCTCTCTCCATCTCTGTCTCTCTCTCTTTTTCTCTCTCTTTCTGAGAACTGCTGCCGCTATTACTCCCCGCAGACTTTACATAATTCTGGCCCGGCTCCCTCCTCATTATGTCATGCACCCAAGTGGAGTATAGGTCACTGCAAGGCCTGCTGTGGTCGGGAAGAACAGACTGCTGGCTCCCCGGCATGGCATCTGGAGCAGACCTTCCCCATGCTGGGGTGAGGGCAGCTAGGCTTGTGAGGGTAGAGGTGCAGCCCAGCCCCAGCCTAAGCCCTTTGGACAGCTCGGGCAAAGGCCAGGGCTTTCTGTGGTGGGCTGTGACTGATGAGCCTTGGGGGATTGGGGGGGGCGGGCAGAGGGCTACATCTCCCCGGAGTTGGGGGACCTCCCCTAATGCCCAGGCCCCAGCAGAAAATTAGGCAGACCTGATGGCAGCCCCTCCTGCTGGGTTGCTTCTCTGAACCTCAGTTTCCTAAACTATAAAATGGGGACAAAACCACCCAAGCTCAAGGTGAAGTATAAATTTCAGTGGGCTCACGTGGGAGCCAGAACGGTAGGAACTGTTCTGGGGACAGAGGTCCAGGCATGTGCTGGGAGAGGGACAGACTTCCCCTCAGACTCACTTGGGGTCTCTTGGGCCATAGTCCTGGGGCCTGAGCCCCTTTCTATAGTCTCCCATCCCTACTCCTCTCCTAGGCTCTGCCCCAATCCCAGAGAGAATCAGAATAGGGGTGAGCCTCCCCCTCCCCCTTGCACAGGTCAGGAGATTGAGGCCAGGGGGAGGTGGTGTGCCTGGCTCAAGGTCACACAGCCCAGCATGGCGATGCCAGAAATGGAATCAGACCCCATAAGTCCCAGCCCA